ATGCCCAGCGGCAAGACCATCGGCGGGGGGGACGACTCCTTCAACACCTTCTTCAGCGAGACGGGGGCCGGCAAGCACGTGCCCCGGGCCGTCTTCGTGGACCTGGAGCCCACGGTGATCGGTGAGCGCGGGGAGGGAGGGGGCTGGGGGTGCCCGGTGTTAACGCGGTGCCCGGTGTTAATGGATGCTGGGTGCTAACGGGGCGGGCGGGCTCTCCCCGCAGACGAGGTGCGCACGGGGACGTACCGGCAGCTCTTCCACCCCGAGCAGCTGATCACGGGCAAGGAGGATGCGGCCAACAACTACGCCCGTGGGCACTACACCATCGGGAAGGAGATCATCGACCTGGTCCTTGACCGCATCCGCAAGCTGGTGGGTGCAAACCGTGGGTGGGGTCAGCACCACCGCAGCCGGTGGGGAAAGGGGAACCCTCTGGTGGGTCCTGGGCGGCAACGAGGAGCTGGGCTGTGCCTCCAGGGTCCGGGTGCATTTTATGGTTCTTGGCACCCTGCACCAGGTCGGGGCTCCCTGTGGGGTCTGGATCCCATGAGTGGAGACCAGGATCAGGCCCTTCCCCTCTCCGTGGGCTGAATCCCCTTCCTCAGGACCCTGCAAACCCACCGGAGCTGCAAGCCCAGGACATGCACCCTGGGGGTGAGGTGGGGCCTGGGGGGAGGCTGGCTGTCTCTTCCCTTGGGAAAACCTTATTTCATCCCTCTTTTTAGGGTCATGTGAGGTTTCTCCTTAATCTGGACTCTGATCCTTCTTGACCAACTGCTTATGAGCAGCTGTACCGAGTGTTTAACTTGTGCTGGGGCAGCTTGTGCCCTGGGAGGGGAGTGCAGGTGCCCGGCAAACCTTGATGGCTGCCAGCCTCCTGCCCAGGCAGTGCCCCCAGGGTGGCAGCTCTGGATGCCCCAACACACTCCTGTAAAGCACCATGGGTTTCCCCTTCCCCAAAGCAGACCGCCTGGGTCGTGCTGGGCGCAGGCGCTGCAAGGGCTGGCTCCTGTAGCAGGGAGGAGCCAAGTGTCCCCCCAGTCCCTGTGGGAAGGGGCCCCTTTCCCGAGGGCTGGTCGTGCCGATGCACAGGGTGCTGTGGCTGGAAGCGGAGCTCGGGCAGGTGCCTGCCCCTGCCTGCGTCCCCAAGACGAGAGTCCCCAAAGGCCTGAGATCCTGGGGTGAATATTTGCCTTCCTGGGCAACTCTGTAGTAGCTTAAGGTCAGAATTCCTGACAGATCGGTCTTGGTTTTCTCTTCCCTTCTTCCAAGCTGACCAGTGCACGGGGCTGCAGGGCTTCCTGGTCTTCCACAGCTTCGGGGGTGGCACTGGCTCCGGCTTCACCTCCCTGCTCATGGAGCGCCTCTCCGTTGACTATGGCAAGAAGTCCAAGCTGGAGTTCTCCATCTACCCGGCCCCGCAGGTCTCCACGGCCGTCGTG